TTTTTTTCCTCGTTCAGTGAGCAGCCTGCAGAGCATAAAGGTGGTTTTTTTTTGATTTGGGGTTGGACGGAAATCTTTGCAGACGTCGCGTCTTTTTTTTCGGTTCACATTGATGTGACTAAGTCCTTGTATAAGAGGCGCAGACAGCCTGCAAAATTTTTGTGTTGGGCGTAGGGCTGACCTATGACCCTTTCAGTTTCATTGTTCGATCAAAAATTATAAATATGATACTGAGTTTTTCTCAAAACCTTTCTGTGTTTTTAGAAGCGTGCTTTTCCTTACTCAGTTGGATTTAGGTTTCTTTACTCAGTGATTTTTATTGCAATACTTTACCAGGTTTACAAGTGGTGAGAAACATCGATGAGGTGGCATTCATACAAAATCTCGTTTACTACATAGAAAATGGTTATCGCACGCCGGTGAGTTCCGATAAAATGTGATTTTCATGTGTCCACTGCAATATGTCATTCTTTATTGTGTGATTTTTTGATTCTGGGTGTGCAATAGGCACAAAGTGCGATCAAGATTTCAATCGTATTGTAACAATCTGCTTTCTAGGACTTTGGAATATGGGAAAGAGGAGACAAGACCAATCAAGGGATAAGGGAACTTAATGCCAGCTCTATTGGGATGGTAAAAGCTGCTCTGCAGGTATGCTTTGCCATCACTTTGTTTGTTGGAAAATCGCGTAGTGTTGTCAAACTTAGGCTATGAACGATGTTGGTGACCTATTTGGAGATGGATCGCGACGATCTGCCATTCATGTTTTGCCTGATGAAATTGAACAATGCTCAGCAGTACTCAGCAGCATGTTGCCAAGAGAATCGTTTAGCAAGGTATTTTGTGCCCTTGTCGAGTTTTTTTGGCTTGCCGTAAGATCTCTTTGAAGGAAACGGATGCAGCACTGTTGACTATAATTTCTTATCCCGGATTTGCTGTAGAGGACCAAGAACTAGTCGATAAAACAAGGGATACCATCTGTTCGACATTGCTCGGAAAATATGGTTGCAGACGATTCTTACGTGATGGTTATAAAACTGCTCTAGAGGTTTGTTGGTTTTTTAACACATTCACTTCGGAAAGCATACGACGCACCGGTGCGTCGTATGCTTTCTGAAGTTCTTAATTTTGCTAGTTTATT